ATCATTGCGTTATTTAATATAATCTCTTATATCGCGTATGAGGTTAATATTTATTTAGCGTTCGCATTAGCACACACTGGCAAGTGTCCCAAGACACGTGACGATGACAAATCGGAGCAGCTCATTAATCCCCCCCCCCCCCCCACCCCCCAAACACCGAAAGAAACATCCTTATGTTCCAATTGAACTTATTTCCCTATTCGTCGTGTCCTACCTGTTGCTCACCATTTGCCAATCTACATTGATTATTCGTACTTCGATAGAGATGAACATTGCTAAAATATCGTTACAGCATTTATCACGATTGTTTGCGTAAGAGTGTTGCGTCCTGTGCCGTATAAGTTTAAATATTTAATAAAACGTTCGCAACGCTCGCGTTGATAACATTGTGGAAAATATTTTTTTATCGCTCTATTTCAAAATAAACGTATCACCTTATGAAATGCTAAAGATACGGCATAAAATGCTTTGGTTGGCTTTTAATTTCGTCGTCTCTGACTTATCGTATTCAATTTGCGGAATTAATTGTACTGAAAATATTGAATTACCATGATTATCCAAGCGAGCTTGGAGTAATTAAATAATGCGCGGGATACAGCAAATTATCTCATTTGCTTGTATTTGCGCAATGGCTGTAAGAAGAGATGGATTTCACTTTAATGTCTTGTGTGAAACGCTGGAAAATATTTTATCTAAATGAAAGGAGGAAGAATTTGTAATGTTTGCGCAACAACGAGCTTTTTCCAAATTCCACCTAATTAAAAGTATTTTTGAAAATTACCATTCTTTTCTCTCTTTTTTAAAATTTTTTTAAATATTTTTTTCTTATTATTTTTGTTTTTCATTTCTTTTATTCGAAATTTTACATACTTCTGATGTATTAATCGAAAAGCACATATTTAATATTTATTTGTTGTTTAGCGTTATTCGTAAATTAAAATACATCGATGACGCCAATCATGTAATTCAAAGAGCAGTGAATTTTTTTTATTTATTTATTTATTTATTTATTTATTTATTTTTTTATTTATTTATTTATTTTTTTATTTATTTATTTATTTTTTTATTTATTTATTTATTTTTTTTTTTTTTGATCATTCAATAAACGTTAATAATTAATTACCAATGGCGTTAATCGTAATAAATAAATCTTTCAAACACTTATTGGCTTTTCTAACATCAACGTTCTTCGAAGTTAAAAACGCCGTTGGAAAACTCGCGAGTTAAGGTCGAGTGCAGTGAATAAAATGTGATAGCTAGGCAAATATTTCACGAGATACAAGAAGAAATTCGATTCCTCATTAAGATTATAATTTCACACTAAGTCTCATTGGTCACTTGATTAACTTGATTAATGGAAATCGAAGTGAATAAATTTACTGATTAAGTTGGAAGAAACAACAATAAAGGTGAAGAAAAATCCAAAAAAGATGAAAATACATTTCAAGCCTGACCATCAAAATTCATACGACAATAGTTTTATCTTTTTGTAAAATTAGAATTTATATTTATATTATCGTGATCAATATGATTTATCTACTGAATGAGTAAAAAAATAATAAAGTTTTTCCTAATTAAGGCTGGCGACCGAGCAAGCAACCATGGAGTGCTTTTATCCTAATAAATAATATAATAGTTCGATCGTATGGTCATTGTTTCGATGAAATAGTATTTGTCGGAGTGTCGTAGCCTTGGTATCGGTAAAATTGAAGTGACGGAAGCAAGAAATAAAGGCTCGAGCGCATCTTTACGCTATTGTTATTGCCAGCCGAATCTCAAATCAAACGGCTAGAAAATGAATCGTATCCAGTAGTATAGTAGTAATAGTAGTAGTAGTAGTAGTAGTAGTAGTAGTAGTAGTAGTAGTAGTAGTAGTAGTAGTAGTAGTAGTAGTAGTAGTAGTAGTAGTAGTAGTAGTAGTAGTAGTAGTAGTAGTAGTAGTAGTAGTAGTAGTAGTAGTAGTAGTAGTAGTAGTAGTAGTAGTAGTAGTAGTAGTAGTAGTAGTAGTAGTAGTAGTAGTAGTAGTAGTAGTAGTAGTAGTAGTAGTAGTAGTAGTAGTAGTAGTAGTAGTAGTAGTAGTAGTAGTAGTAGTAGTAGTAGTAGTAGTAGTAGTAGTAGTAGTAGTAGTAGTAGTAGTAGTAGTAGTAGTAGTAGTAGTAGTAGTAGTAGTAGTAGTAGTAGTAGTAGTAGTAGTAGTAGTAGTAGTAGTAGTAGTAGTAGTAGTAGTAGTAGTAGTAGTAGTAGTAGTAGTAGTAGTAGTAGTAGTAGTAGTAGTAGTAGTAGTAGTAGTAGTAGTAGTAGTAGTAGTAGTAGTAGTAGTAGTAGTAGTAGTAGTAGTAGTAGTAGTAGTAGTAGTAGTAGTAGTAGTAGTAGTAGTAGTAGTAGTAGTAGTAGTAGTAGTAGTAGTAGTAGTAGTAGTAGTAGTAGTAGTAGTAGTAGTAGTAGTAGTAGTAGTAGTAGTAGTAGTAGTAGTAGTAGTAGTAGTAGTAGTAGTAGTAGTAGTAGTAGTAGTAGTAGTAGTAGTAGTAGTAGTAGTAGTAGTAGTAGTAGTAGTAGTAGTAGTAGTAGTAGTAGTAGTAGTAGTAGTAGTAGTAGTAGTAGTAGTAGTAGTAGTAGTAGTTGATGTTAATAAATTTGACTCGAATCTATCGAAAAATACAATTTTTATTGCTATTTTTATCGTTATTATGCCGAATACGGGTAGCAGGATCGATTGATTCATAGGATACGAGATATGAGATACGGGCGATGGTTATTCAAGGATTCGTGCTCTCGCCTCGCAAACATTTAAAACGAAGTATCGACGCGGGTCGTAGGCATTGTAGAGTTTATTGTGAATAGGCCTTTGTGACGCGAGGGAGCTTCGCGCAATTTAGAAAGAAGTGAAAATCTTTTCTAGTCTAACGACCGGATGGATTTCACGGGGTTCTCAAGGTCGCTGCTCTTTTGCATAAAAGCCGTTGCTCAAAAGCTGAATAGCTTATAAATCGTCGATGTTGGCCGAGAATTAGCTAGTTAGCGGCACTGTGCAGCATTGTCTTTCAGACATTTGGGGAAGCCTTTCTCTCTCAAGCGTACGACTGAAATTTTATAAAAAAAAAACAAACAAAAACAAACAAACAAACAAACAAACAAAAAAAAACAATAATTGACTATCGCAATTACAATACATTTCTGTATTTCAGATACAAGATGTCTAAGATTTTTGCATTCAAGTTGATTATTTATCGTTTATATTCTTTTAGTTTGTATGAAAAAATAAGAGGAAGAAAATAATAATAATAATAGTAACGATAACAATATGCTACAGCGTCGAACGAAATTTATATAAACTTGTATAAATTTTAGTTCGTGAATTAATTCAGCGATTAATAATAGGGTTTATATAACATAAGCGTTATATTCATAAATTCAATCGCACGTGCAACGTTAAATTTGATAACTTTTACGTAAGTGTAAATAGGTAGTTAATAATTTATCGTTACAGTTGTACAATGTAACGATCATTTAAATACAAAGAACATTTTTATTATTTGTGTTTTCATAAAAAAAAAATTTCATAAAAAAGTTTTCATAGAAAAAATTAAGTATGTTAATATATATATATATATATATATATATATATATGATTTTCACTGATAATTTGAATTTAAAATTTATACAATTTACGCAATTGCAAATATTCTATACTGTTTGACGCTTGTCAATTAGAAAGAAATCTTCAAATTTTTATTCGTGCCCATTAAATTAAATGCGTTTGTTCATTTAGTGGCCGATAATTAATTTGAAAAAAGATCCATAAAATTATAAGAGAATGTGAAACATTGTTTTCCAAATAAAGAATTAGTATGAAAAATAGTACGAAAGCGTTTGAAGTTAATGATAAAAGTTGTTGAAAAAAAGAAAAAAAATGACGAGTAAATGATAAATTATTCTCTTGGTAAAACAAAGTAATAATTTTTTAATAATAAAAAAATAAAAAGTTTCCAATGGTTTTTCAGGTAAGTCTCATATCAATGACCGAGTGCTTATTTTATATCATTCGGTATATATATAAATAGCGAATATATAAAAACAGCTATAATTAATGTAATGTTATTTTAGCGAATAGAAGTAGAAATTTTTTAATAATTCGTCAAAGAATGTAAGGCCTACGATAGACTGGAAGTATTTATTTATTAAAAAATGGCAGATCTAATGATTATTTGGTCAAATATATAAAAAAAAAAAAAAAAAAAAAAAACAACGTAGTTCTACATTTTCAACTACATTTTATTACACATTATTGTTATAATTAGGTATCGTATATTGTCATTGAAATTTAATGAAAAGAGTAAAGAGAAATGCGCACGTATAACAACGCAATGTCCTTGTTTTCGTTTTTGTTGCTTGCATTTATCGATATAAATGTTAAATTTTATAACTAATCAGCCTAACATGATTAATTAATCATGCCAAATAGCGAATGTGTTGCAATTTTACTATATGTAATAATTTATATAATTTATATAATCCTCACACATGCATTTATATATATATATATATATATATGCATATGTATATATATATATATGTATATACACAGGCTAAATAGTTCCAATAATTGCGTCGTAGAGGGGGGCGCTTTTTTTTTATCGAGTCGGCTTCGTTATTTTTTTTTTTGGGAATAGTGCATAGTTGCATTGTTTAAAAATTGAAAATAGTTGAAAATTTCTTTAATTAAAGAAATAAGAAAAATAAGTCGATGAAGTCAATAAAGGAATACTTTCGTAACTATGTTTGCGACTTCAAAGCATATGTGCTTTCTTCTCTTAATATCTTAGGTTAGGTATTGATGTATATATGGGGTCAATCTAAATTTTATGCTTCAACACTTGATAATTAAATTACTTTAATCCGTAAGTATTCGACATAATTTACCGATGAATTTTTAATTTCTCTTCCTATTGATATTTTCACTCACTTTTAATGCTAATAATCGGCTATTTTCGTACAGAGTCATGGCTCTTCACAGTGGACCTCCAAAGAGGAAAGAAATTTACAAATACGAGGCCCCATGGCCTCTTTACAGTATGAATTGGTCGGTAAGGCCTGACAAAAGGTTTCGACTTGCTTTGGGAAGTTTTGTCGAGGAGTATAATAACAAAGTACAGATAGTTTCGCTCGACGAAGAAACGTCTGAATTTATAGCTAAGAGTACTTTTGATCATCCATATCCAACGACTAAAATAATGTGGATTCCAGATAGTAAAGGTATATTTAAAAGTAATATAGAGTTATCCAGTTCGATTCATGCAAATTCATTTCAAGCGATAGCAATGACTTGATTTTGAATGAAATATAATTTCATACGAATTGTGAAAGTAGCGTGGATCTTTGCATGAAAAGAATAAAATTATAAAGTAAGATGTACGTTATATAATGAAGGTAATTTAATGGAATAATCTACTAAGCAAGGATAGAAATTGATATAAAATTCATTATTAATTTAAATGAAATTATTTCTCATAAATCTATGTTCATAGATGCAATTTAGGTAATATCTCAATAATTATCCAATTATACTTATTATATTAATATAATAACAATTTCATGCATACAAAGTACATTTAATTGTATTATATTGTAAAATTTCTCATTTTCTATAATTAAAACGTCAAAATTTTGTCTAATAAATATTTTCATTGTGTAGGGTATTATAAACATTATGTAATCATTCGAAATAATATGCAAAAACTTTTTCTTGTAGGATTATTTCCAGATTTGTTAGCCACATCGGGTGATTATCTTAGAGTGTGGCGAGCGAGCGAGCCAGAAACTCGAATGGAGTGTGTTTTAAACAATAATAAAAATTCGGATTTTTGCGCACCTCTAACCTCCTTTGATTGGAACGAAGTCGACCCAAATCTTATCGGTACATCTAGTATCGATACCACATGCACAATTTGGGGTCTAGAAACTGGCCAAGTCATGGGTCGGGTAAATTTAGTGACAGGACATGTAAAAACGCAGGTGACAATTTTATATATACAAATAAAGTTATACACCGTTTCGATTAGTATTATTTGTACATTGAGTATTATCGCATTCTTACGTAATCACTATTGTTGTTGTCTATTCACTCGTCGATTTGGCCTTTGATCATACTTGCATGCAAATCGTATATTAACGTTACCTCATATATTTTATATATTATGTAATTAGTTTTGCGTGACATTATATACACAGCGTGCTAACAAAATCCTTTAAACATTAAATGTTTTTAATGTAAATAACGTTGGATAAAATGGAGTGAGTAATTTTCAGGCTTCAACATAAAACTAAAACTTACTCTTTTATTTGTAAAATTGATTGTAAAGTAATATACAGAGGCAAGGTAATAAAATGTTTTGAAAAATTTCTTTTGTTACGGTATTGTATTTGCCATAGGATCCGCCAATTTCCAATAACCAGTACTTAAGTTTAATTGTAAAATGTTATTTAAATTCACATTATAAAACGCTGCATTACCAATTCATTCCAACCACATTACATCCAGTTAATTCAACGAATGGTCGTTATAATTATGGTAAAATAGCCAAAATAGTTAATTAAGTTTGGCCCGTCCAGTTCGCCAATTCATCAAATAACGAAGTTACTTTTATCTTATGAATTCAGCTCATAGCTCATGACAAGGAGGTCTACGACATCGCATTCAGTAGAGCTGGAGGAGGTAGGGACATGTTTGCTTCGGTAGGGGCGGACGGTTCGGTGCGCATGTTCGATCTTCGGCATCTCGAGCACTCGACCATCATCTACGAAGACCCACAACACACGCCCTTGTTGAGGTTAGCTTGGAACAAGCAGGACCCCAACTATTTGGCAACCGTGGCCATGGACGCCTGCGAAGTCATTATCCTGGATGTGAGAGTGCCGTGTACACCTGTTGCTAGATTGAACAATCATAGGTGAGAGTGACGAGGGTGCACGAAAGTTTCTTGAGGATTGGTAAATTTTCGAAGCGATCCTAGATAATTATTTACGAATGACTCGATTAACTAACGATGTCCTTTAGATTATAAATGTACTATGCTTGCCCGTTAGTGGCTTGGGAAATTAATGTTTATCATCGATATTTGTGTATTATTCGTTTATCGTTAAATACATGGTCGGTAAAATTAAGGCTCAGCGTGAATAATAATTAACGACGGTTTAGGATAAGAGTCGTCGTGGGCAATGTCAGATTTAATTAAAATTCTTGTGGTAGGCACCGACTAACGTTAACGATAGTGGATGTCTTATTTATTATCTGCAGGGCGAGTGTAAATGGAATTGCGTGGGCGCCTCATTCATCGTGTCATATCTGCACCGCCGGTGACGATCATCAGGCCCTTATTTGGGACATCCAGCAGATGCCGAGAGCCATCGAGGACCCGATACTTGCCTACACCGCTGCCGAGGGTGAGGTTAATCAGATTCAATGGGGCGCTACTCAGCCGGATTGGATAGCTATTTGTTATAACAAAGCCGCCGAGATCTTACGAGTGTAAATTCGTGCATCTCGTTTTCATCTCTGTACTACTACTGCGTGTGGTGTGACCGTTAGCCATCATCATCATCATCATCATCATCATCATCATCATCATCATCATCAACCTCTACGTCATAATCGTCATAATCGTCATCATCGTCATCATCATCGTCATTATTATTATTATTATTTAATTTTAGATTTTTCTCATTACTCTTTTTGTTCCGAATGCTCGCTTGATTGTGACCTACATTACCGACTAGGTAATGCATAAACTATTGGCGTTTTATTTTCGATTGGCTTAATATTCCTTCGATTTTTATCGATTACGAATTGTTGTTCGCCGGGAAAAAGTTGTACTCTCGTTTATGTTGAAATGATATATTAATTTATGAAAATTCTCCCTTGATTTCTAATTGATTAAAAATTTGGTAGAAATTGTTTTTAGTATTAACGATGTGTATGAGTATTAGATTACTAAATTATCCAAGTATTTTTTACGAGCCTTACACTAAATAATTGATTTTTATGTAATTGTACGAGATATACAAGACAAGTCGGTTTGACAGCTCGAGTTATTTAGAAGTCAATTTGACAGATGCGAAATAATTTTATCCATGCTTATAGTGGATGTAGTCGAACCCATAACGATACATTATTTACTACACGGCCAACAAAATATTATTTTAATAAATATATATCTTACATTATAAGAAATTTTCGTATCTTAAAAACAATGATGATGATAATAATAATAATAAAAAAAAAATAAATAAAAAAAAAAATAAATTATAATAATAATAATAATAATAATAATAATAATAATAATAATAATAATAATAATGAATAGCTCATAATAAATAATTGTAAAATGGTAGTGTTTTAGTAGTCCAGTGTTGTAGTAATGTTGATACAACTAGTTATTGTTTTTATTGAAGAGATAAAAAGAAATTGTAATCGATGAGGTAATGAAGTACGATATGAAAGAAAATGGAAATTATAGAGAGATAATTTTTTATCGTAATAAGCAACAAGAGCCTTGTTGGAAAATTATTTACATTATAATTTGAAATAAGTGAAACTTATTTTTGCACTTTTCATTTTACTTTTTTATTTACTTTTCATTTTTCTTTTTACTCAATTGTCCATTAGTAAATTAACTAAACACATTTGAGTTCTACATTAAGGATTGTTAATATGCAATGACTATCGACCTCTTATCATATCTTCAATGAAAATTACACGTTTTTTTTTTCTTTTTTTTTTTTACCGTGCGTAGCATATACATATGTGCAACAAATAGACTGACAATACATAGCAAGGTTCACCTCCGAAGGAATTTCGGAGTCTTGTCATGCGGATTTTGTTGTGCGTTAACTCACCAATCAAGCCGTTAAAGTTCAATTATGCATGAGTATAAATTTATTAATATTATCGACTGAATGATGTGACATGAAAAATTTTATTTTTTGTACGCGTGCGACTTTTGAATATGTGTAATAATTATTTGTGACAATTGTCAAGTTTTCGGTAATTGTATATCTATATTGGCTTTACGAAGACAATAATCCTTTTAATACGTGTACTTACATTCAATTTATTTTACATTATACATTGATTATACAAAGTCGTTGCAATGTTGTATAATAACTGCAAAAAGCTTAAAGATAGTGTGTCGGCAAAGTAGGACACGTTCACGTAATATGTATAAAGACTTGGGGAATAGAAATTTTACTTTGTTGATCTTTACTATCGTAAAGATAACAGAAACAATAAAAGAATTCATTTTACTAATTCATCATTCAGTGACTGATGCGACTTTTATATATATATATAAAAAAAAAAAAAAAAAAAAAAAAAAAAAAAAAACAAAAAAAAAAACAAAACAAGACAAAAAAGCAAAAAAAAAAAACAATGACGTATGTCAGGCAATGTAGAATTTTTGAAAGCTTTTATTTAATATGGCGTAAAAATCTTTTTAAAAAATGAAGTAAACAATATGTAGGCGTAGTATTTGACATGTATTGCGTTAAAACTTGAATGTATTGTACAGGCTCCGCGATTTATATATATATATATATCTTGTAAGATTATTAATTATACTTGCGTATTCGTACATATATACTAATGCGAGAGCAAAATAATGTAGCAGCAAACATATACTTTTAATTAAGAATATTCATGTAACACTGTGTAACCAGTCGTAATACAATTTTTCTTTTTTTTTTTATTTATTTATATTTTTTTTATACACACTCAAGGCGTATAAAAATATTTTATTTTATTTTATTTTGTCATTTATTTATTGTAAAAACAAAGACACTCGTTCAAAGCAAGTAAATAGCATTAGCTTTGAATAAAGTAAAAATTTACGAAAACTGCTTTACTAATTCAATAATCATTGAATTTTTCGTCCTATTTTATTTACGTTTATTCTAATAATTTCTTTTACCACTTAAGAATAAAAATACTTTTTTTTCTCGATCGATCGTTTTACATAGAAACGTTTTAATTTGTAAATTTTAACTGTAACAATAATATTGAAAAGAAGCAAAAAATTAATTCCTTTTTGATTGTTATTTATTGTAAATTATTTTGTCAGTTAAAATGAAAATACTCGACAACAGAAAATGTCAACATATCCTGGAGAGTGAAAAATGGCTATATTAAATTATTTGGAGACAGTCGCATTTCACAAATATAATTTACAAAGATTGAATGGGCGATTTATATGATATTTACAATAATGAGGCGCGTCAAGCATATAAATTAAAAAGAAAAGAAAAAAGAATAAAGATTAAGGGAATTTTTTTTTTAGTCAATATCGCGATGATACTCTCCGAACTGAAATACTTTGCCTTTTTCGTTTCAGAGAAATATGACAGTGAAATAAGAACGACGATTGCTTTCTTTAACCGATTGTTTTTATGAAATACACGTTAAATTTTTGCATAAATAAATATGAATGACACTCTGATACAGAGTTTTTCATTATCTGCCAGTTCGAAAACTCTATTACGAGTTGGCGCTGTTGAAAAGTACATTAAAAACTAAAATTCGAGTTTTTCAGTATGAAAAATTGATACTCTGATAGAGACTGAAGTTTTTTGTTTTGTTTTGTTTTTATTTATTTTATATTTATTACAAAAAATTATCAATACAATATATATATATATATATATATATATATATAAATATATAAGCTGTAGGCTCTCTGATATCGATGAAACATGCTGAAAAACTTGAATTGTTTCCATTTTCTTGAATAACGCTTCTGTGAATGAAACGTCTTAATCCTTTAAGCTCGAATCTATGTAATAATTGTGACTGCATTGACAAAATTATTGAGAAAATAAAGGAAACGTTATGATGATAATGTAAGTAAGAGTCCTCCTCGTCTTATTTTTCGTTGTTGAATGTTCAAAATTCCTTTCAATTACCGAGACTTAAAGGATTAATTTTTTCAAACGCGCCACGGTTAAACAAGTTTTGCGTAAGCAGTTAAGAAATTTAATGGGCAGACCTCTCAACTATACATATTAAAAATATATTTCATTAAAACTTAATAATGATATATCGTTATATTTATACGAAATCGCAACAAGTAGCGATTTCTAGAGAGCGACAGAACACGATTACAAAAGAAATTTCAAAGTAAAAATACAATTGTTTATCTAAACGTATTGGCAGCGTCGGTTTCACGCTTTTCTTTAAATTGCGCAAAATTTAATATCCGACAAGGCCATTCCGCGCTCTCTAAATTTGTATTTCTTTTTCTTTCTTTTTTCTTTTGTACTACTGGTCGTCAGCATTATTTTCATCGTCATGAAAAAGAAGATAAATAGATCTTACAACATACGATATTTTGGTATTTTCATTTCAAATTATTGCTTCATGTGTGCGCAGTGTATAATATAGCCACGCATATAGTTGAAAAACCGCAGGCAGTGAATATCGCATTTTCTTTTTTCTTCTTCTTTTTTTTTTTTTGTCGATTTATTTCGTAGAGAAGTTGCACCGAGAAGATAAGATCTATGGAAACATAAATTTGCATGCTGATGAATTTAGGCGCATACATGATATTTCTTAGAGATAAATTGAAAAAAGCCCGCGGCCTTAAAAACATTAAAATACAAATATTAATACAATCAAATTGACATTTTATGCAAAGCTGCATTATTTAAGATATTCGTGGACAAACTACTAATATTTTTAAGATGAATCGATTATTATTTTCATTAATAAATACAAAATTATAAAAAGAAGAAAAGAAAACAAATATATATATATATATATATATATTTTTTTTTTGTTTTGTTTTCTATCAGCGAGCATTATAATAATTTCTGTTAATGTCTACGGCTTTTGATTAAAATTCAATAGCTAATAATCGTGTTGGTGTTTTATAATTTATGCCGTTCGAATCGTTGAACAAATCGCGCTTACAATAAATTGGTCGGTCACAAAAAAATGTTCATTTTCCATTACAAAATTTAATAACTGATTTTTGACTAATCGTCAAAATACTTTTACATTCTGCGAAATTTGTAGACTAGTTATTGTTACAAGTGCATTAATTTAAATGCTTTTCTCTGATAATTGATAAAGTCCTTTAAAAACTTGTGCAATTGTCGTGAAAACAAGAGAAACATAAATTAACCGTTATTTTTAATTGTAATCAAATGTAAATAAATTTTTCTCATTCTGATCATTCTTATAATGTCATTTTATAAGCTTATAAGACTATCTACAATTAATATATAAATATATATTAAAAAAAAAAAAACAAAAAAAAAAAATTTCTCTCAAATAATTGTATATTTATAATTATATACTGTCATATATGAGTATTTACAATTAATTGGATAATTCGTTGAATGATGAAAATGTTTTATCACTGTAATAATTACATTTACGTAGAATCCATCCACATCATTTCTTTCATTCAATTTGCATTAAAAATTTCAAGAAATCGTTACACAGAAGTTTCATTGCACTCAAAACATCGAAGGCACAGCATTTAGCTGCAATCTAATCGATTAATGATAATTGTCAAAGCATCAATTAGCATTAATCGGTTCATTATCTTTACATCGAAGCAGTAAGTCGAGGGTATAAAAATCATTTCTGCACATACAACGTAACGATAAGGTATATATATGCATTTAACTATATGATAGGGTATCGGCGGGAGGTAATCGACGACCCCGATGATGTTTTTAAAATTCATGCCACGTTCTTTCAACGAGGAGGAGTAATCAAAATTCTTTTATTCGCAACGAGATAATAATCTTCGAATAGACGAATTAGGAAGTACTTCCTAATCCACTAGTTGGTTTTGCCAATTACCGTTGATATATGCTGAAATTCACTACTTACTTAAACTTATAGGCACGCGAAAGTGCGAAGAGTAGAAAAGTTTGCGAAAATGAAACGGTCGGGCCGATCCCGAGGCCTTTACCTCAATATCGTCCCTCCTAGCGTAAGTCAAATTTTCGTAGGAATAAG